ATTAGCGACCGATTTAACGACCACTTTAATTCGGTCGCAATTAGCGACCGATTCAACGACCAAAATATGATTTATTTTGCACTTTTTTATTTAGCGACTAGAAATAGCGACCAATATTTTGCGTCGCAAAATTTCGATCGCTAAATCAGTGGCTATTTCATACTAAAATAAAAAAATCATTTAGCGACTGATTTAGCGACCGAATTACAAATTGAAATAGTGACCGAATTAAAATCGGTCGCTAATGAGAAAATAGCGACCGAATTGAAATCGGTCGCTAATGAATATTATTTTTTTATTATATTTAATTTTTTTTATAAATATACTTTAATTGTTTTAGTATATTTTTTATAATTTATTTTTTAAAAGTAATTTATTTTTTAAAAATAATTTAATTTTTAAAATATACTTTAAAAATAAACTTTGGTCTCAATATTAACAAAATGAATTGTAATAAATCAAATTTATTAAAAATTTAAATTGTAATAAATTAAGACTAGAGTGATGTTAACTATTCAATACATTGTTTAAGAAAAGTTTAATAACAAATATTCTTGAATTTATTTTTCAATTCAAAATTTCAATTGAAATTAAATTATATTTTAAAAATTTATATTAAAAAATTGAAGAAAATAGAGATTTAATTATACTTTTAATAAATTTAACATAATAATAGTTTTGATTTTTATTTTTAAATATTTATTTTAATTTTTTAAAACAGAGAAACTATAATTTTAGTTTCTAAATACTAAATTTAAAGAATTAAATTTATTATTATTTAATCTTTTAATTTTAGTATTAAAAATTTAAATTATATTTTATTAAATTAAAATAATATTACAATATATTTTTCTACTTTGAGAATGAAAAATATAATTAAACTAAAACTGAAAATATTATAATACATTTTTGAACTCTTTTTGATTAATTTTTTTTCCTAATTTTTTATAAAGTCAATTTTAATATTTAAAAGTATTTAACATTTTGCTTTCTGAAATGTTTTCGTATTACCAAATTCCAGCTCTTAATAACCTCTACAACCAAATTCCAGTCGAGAGAAACCAAGTGCCAAAATTCCAGGCACCAAACAATACAAAAAGAATGTAAAGAAATGAAAAAGAAGAAACTAGAATGCTCAAACCAGTTTATGCAATTCTGCTGTAAGTGTTTCTTCTTCAAAAGAAATCAAGTTGCCTCAAGAAAGATTTTCAAAGAACTACTCAAAAGCTGATGCGAATCTTTCTTGAAAGAGTGCTTGAAGTTTGCTTGATTGATTGCTCAAGGATGTGTAAAAGATGATATTCAATGTATGTTAAAAAAGTTCAAGCCAAACTGTTTTTATAGAAGATTTTCAAAGCTACTTGGTTTAATTAATCTGTTAAAAGATTATTTTAATCTGTTAAAAGTGTAGTTTTAATCTGTTAAAACTTCTTTTAATCCATTAATACGTTCTTGATTCTTTAACAGATTTGTTTTAACTCGATACGACAACGTTTATATCAATTAAAACACTTTACAAAAAATCTTCTAAGTTGATTTAATCGATTGTTTTGCGATTCAATCGATTGAAATACTACAAAACTTTCTTGTAAAACTTTTCAAGTTATTTTAACTGATAAAAATAAGTTTTAATCGATTAAAACGCTGTGTAGAAATTTTTAAGTTGTTTTAATCGATTGAAACGAGATTTAATCGATTAAAAGAGTTCTGATCGGTCATAACTAAATTTTGATCGATCATAACTGATTCTGATCGGTCATAATTGCATTCTGATCGATCATCCTGAACCCTTAAGTGGTTTTAATCGATTAAAATCAAGTTGTATCGATTAAAATATTGTAAAAACATTTCACTTGACATTTTAAGTAATTTTAATCGGTTCTATCAAAGCTGTATCAGTTAAAAACTTGTTTGAGAAAACTTTTGTCAAAATACTTTGTTTTTAATTGTTAAAAACATTTGTAGAGGCATTTTGCAAAATCTTTTAAGTGAAGAAACCTCATGCAACATAAATCTTTTAATTTTAGTATTAAAAATTTAAATTATATTTTATTAAATTAAAATAATTACAATATATTTTTCTACTTTGAGAATGAACAATATAATTAAACTTAAAATTGACAATATTATAATACATTTTTGAACTCTTTTGGATTAATTTTTTTTCCTAATTTTTGATAAAGTTAATTTTAATATTTAAAAGTATTTAACATTTTGAATTCTGAAAGGTTTTCTTTAATAGCAAATTTAAAAACATAATATTCAAAAAAATAGTTCATGTAAGTTTTCATTATGATCGATTATAATTAGAAATGATAGATCATAATTGAGAAGATATGATAGCGGTTCCATGTTAACCGCTATCTAAAGTATAATTTAGATAGCGGTTAAGGGTTAACCGCTATTATAAGTGCGCTTTTAAGAGCGTTTCCTGTGGAACCGCTATCTAAAATGTATTTCGCTTGAGCGACACTGGTCTCGCTCGAGCGAAACGCCCCTTGCACAAAATTAGCATTCTCGGGTTGTATTTCGCTTGAGCGACTCTAGTCTCGCTCGAGTGATATCTGATGAAAAAATGTATCAATAAATAAATAAAATATAGTTAGATAGCGGTTAAGGTTTAACCGCTATTAGAAGTGCTCTTTTAAGAGCGGTTCCATTGGAACCGCTATCATATACAACCGGATTTTTTAATTCGATCGATTAGATTTTCAAAATGATTGATCATATTTGATAATTTTTTCAAATAATTAATTATAATCGATTAGTTTTCTAAATTATTGATTAGAATTGATTAGTTTTTCAAATAATAGATTAGAATTGATTAATTTCTAAAATATATACTAAAAAATTATAATTAAAAATATAAATTATTTAAGAATATTGACTATTATAAAGATAAAGTACTAGAACATGGGAGGATATGAGGATGATAATATAATGATAGAACTTACAAAAATGTAGAATTGAGAAGTTTGAAACAAATAAAATTAAGAAAATAGAGATTTAATTACACTTTTAATAAATTTAAGATAATACTAGTTTTGATTTTTATTTTTAAATATTTATTTTAATTATTTAAAACAGAGAAACTATAATATTAGTTTCTAAATACTGAATTTAAAGAATTAAATTTATTATTATTTAATCTTTTAATTTTAGTATTAAAAATTTAAATTATATTTTATTAAATTAAAATAATTACAATATATTTTTCTACTTTGAGAATGAACAATATAATTAAACTCAAAATTGACAATATTATAATACATTTTTGAACTCTTTTGGATTAATTTTTTTTCCTAATTTTTGATAAAGTTAATTTTAATATTTAAAAGTATTTAATATTTTGAATTCTGAAAGGTTTTCTCTAATAGCAAATTTAAAAACATAATATTAAAAAAAATAGTTAATGTAAGTTTTCATTATGATCGATTATAAATAGAAATGATCGATCATAATTGAGAAGATATGATAGCGGTTCCACGTTAACCGCTATCTAAAGTATAATTTAGATAGCGGTTAAGGGTTAACCGCTATCATATAGAACCAGATTTTAAGATTGTGAAGTCTCGGGTTGTATTTCGCTTGAGCGACACTATACTCGCTCGAGCGACATCCGATTCAAACATGAGGTCACCTATGTTACATTATCCGGCTAACTTTGATCAACGGTTAGCAGGTCAACATTCGCTCAAGCGAAAATAACATCGCTTGAGCGACGCCACCTGCACAAAATTGGCATTCTCGGGTTGTTTTTCGCTTGAGCGACACTGATCTCGCTCGAGCGACATCCACATTTTTTGATTATGATCGATTACATTTTCAAATGATCGATCATATTTGAAAATATATAATAGCGGTTAATATTTAACCGCTATTAGAAGTGCTATATAATAGCGGTTAAGATTTAACCGCTATTAGAAGTGATATTATAATAGCGGTTAAGATTTAACCGCTATCATATACTACCACATTTTTCACTTTCATATCTCGCGCCACTTATCCCCAAATAACCCTAACTCTCGCGCCTGACTCACCCATTCCTCTTAACCTTGGCCAGTATCTCCTCCTCACTCCCGGCGAGCCCTAGCCCCCTCACTACTCCCCCCAAGTCAGCCCTCACCCTAATCCAACCTCCACCAAAGCTCCTCGTCAACCGGACGCCACCCTGTGAGCCACCGCGCCACACCTCTGTTCTTAACCTCCTCCGTGACCTCGACACCCTCAACCAAGGTTTGGCTTGTTTGAATGTATATACTTGTTATTCTCTTGCATTGTGAATAATAAAGGAGAGATAATTTTGACAGAATTTCTTTATGGTTTGTTGTAGGTGGATTTGTGAAGTAGATAGGTTCTTCGAGATCCCTCTTACTGCGGATTTGGTGGTGCTTGACAGACCAATTTGGGAACTTGTTTTGTTTTGTTTAAAATATGAACACCATTGTTATGTTTAAAATATGAAGGAATTTTAGCAGAGACCTTGTGCACACTTGTTCTTTTGTTTCCCTCTTTTACCTAGCAGGGTGCAGGGCGTGCAGTGGCACTCGGAGTAACGACAGATCGTTGTGCTTTCTATAATTGTAGGTTCCTTGGGTGGCGGGTGCTTCACTTGTCTTCATATTTTTATTCTCGAGTTTGATTTTAGAAATTTATGTGTGCATGATGTATCCTTTATAGTGTGTGTTGCGTAAACATAATAAGATCTTCAATTAACAAGAGGCCATGATTGTTAGGCTAGATGGTTTTGTACACCATTATCCTTCCGTTTCATTTGAGGAAAATCTGAGGTACCAAGGTGATAAATAAACTTATTTTGTGATTAGTACAGGACACACTCGTACTTACATTATGGAAAGCAATACTTGAAAGATTGTTACATTGAAGGGAGTGTGGACTTCATTTTTGGTAATAGTACTTGCACTCTTGGAACATTGTCACATCCATTGCAAGTCCGTGAGGTTTATAATCGCACAGATCGAAACTCTCCACAGGAAAAAATGGTTATGTATTCCTGAGGTGTGTGATCATGCCTAATACTTACAACATCATCTTACCACATAATAATTTTTTTTAGTCATTGTAACTTGTTTAACAAGGAAAGAGACATTTCCCAATCATCTTGTTTCCCCTACAATACAACAGTGTTAGTGACTCTTACTTTGTTTTCCAATTCCAAGGAAAAATATGTTCTCTCTTAGTTCTTCCGATGTGAAATCAAGTAAGTACCTAGGTTGAAGTTTATCATCATGATCGAGTCGTGTTTATGAAAACTGATTAAGATAATGAGAGAATGCTGGTTTTGAAGATGATCTTGCTTTTAAGTTTTGCAGTTTGGTTTGTAAATGTTTAGAAGCATGGCTAACACGGATTTAGGAGTATTTAATTAGAAAAAAACATTCTAGGTTAAAACAAGAACCAGATTCTCTTGAAGCTAGGGAAATGATCCCTTGAAAATTCAATGAATTCAGGAATCCTGTAAGAAATCTTAGAATAAAAATCTTTGAATCTCATACTACTCTATGCTTCCTTGTCAATATTTTGCTCCTATCCCTTTACAATGTTTCTTTGGTGTGTTAATCTGTTAAACTTCCGAGTCCAAGAAAGGATACTACACAAGTAAAGTACTTTTATTATGTTGTGAACATTTTGGTTCCTTACATGATGTTTTGTTTGTGGTGTCATTGCAGATGTGTTGTCACAGGTAATCGGGGAACTTCATATGCATATCTGGGAAGACCATGGAGACCTTTTGCAAGAGTGGTTTTTGCATTCACTTTCATGGATCAATGTATAAAGCATGCAGGGTGGAATAATTGGGGCAAAGTTGAGAATGAAAGAACTTCTTGCTTCTATGAATACAGGCAATCATTTCTAACTCCATTCTGTAGTATTGTTATCATCACCAAGGCCTTCTTATACTCATTAAATCAATGGATCTGACAACAAAATTGTTGATAATTTCATAAAAACATCAAAGTGAAAGAGGGTCTAAAGTGTATAAAATTGTTGTTTATTGAGTTGAACAAGTTTGGAGTAATTTGATAAGAGTGCAGGTGTTCTGGACTGGGTTTCGTCCATCCCAAAGAGTGAAATGGGCCGGAGAATTGAAGAATGAAGGAGTTGAGCAGTTTCGAGTCACACCTTCATTGATCCAGAATCAGACAGATCTTGGCTTCCTCAAAGAATGACCTTCAATTATTAATTAGGATTATTATTATAATAGAATAATTAATAGATCTTGGCTTCCTTCATAAAATTCCTACTACAAGTCAATATGACACTGACAATATACCAGAGGACTAATTTTCAATTTTATGATATTAAGACTTTGAATCTTGAGTAGTTGTTAAGTTCTTAAGTTTCATTTGTGTTATGTTTGGATGAATTAAGCACGTACAAATTTTGTAAAATTGGATATACAAAATTTGACTTTAGTTCTTAAGTTTTCATTTGTGTTATGTTTGGATGAATTAAGCAGATACAAATTTTATGATTTGAATAATTTGACTTTAGTTCTTAAGTTTTCATTTGTGTTATGTTTGGATGAATTAAGCAGGTACAAATTTTGTCAAATTGGATATACAAAATTTTAAATGAAAATTTTCAGATTTGGTTAGATTAGCGATCGAATTTTTGGTCGCTACAAATTTATTATAATATACAATTCAAATTTAGCGACCGATTTAGTGACCAATTTAAATTATTATTTAAATAATTCAATTAATATATTAGCGATCGATTATATCCATCGCTATTTTTTTAACTTTGTCTCCATTTTAGCGATCGATTTAACGATCGATTTTAATTTTTATTTAAATAATTATATTAATATATTAGCGACCGAATATATCGATCGCTATTTTTTAAAACTTTACCACTGATTTAGCGACCGATTTATTATATTAATTTCGGTCGCTATTTTGGTCTTCAATGAGTAAGTGACCAAATTATTTAGCGACCACCTCATCGGTCGCTATTTAGCTGACCGAAATGTAAATCGATCGCTAACCAATTAGCGACTTGCCCTTTTGCGACCAACCATTTCGGTCGCTAACAGAATAGCGACCGAATTTTGGCCATTAGCGACCGATTTTTTCAGTCGCTAATAGCATTTTTTCTTGTAGTGAGAGAATCCCTGTCTAATCCAATTAATATCGGACAATCTGCCTTTTAGTTAGTCTAGTTTCAGGTTTTTTTGTAAGTTATGTAGTCACACAGTCCGACAGAAGAGATAAGAGATATTAAAATTATTCTTTTGCAATAAATTATCTTTATCTCAGACAGTTTACCTTTTAGCTAGCCTTATTTCAGGTTCTTTATAAGCTAAGTAATCACGTAGTCCGACAAAAGAGATAAAAGGTTATAAAAAACAAATAAATCAAATAAAACAAATAAAAACCGAATAAATCCAAAATGGGATCTTGTTCATAAGCATTAAACTTATAAATATCCATATAGATAGTTTATCTTCCTTTTGAAAAAATACAAAAAACCAAACACTATCATGTATCATGTAGAAAATAAAACATGATAATGTTTAGGAAAAATAAACACTTGCATGCATACTTGCATTAACATCATATTCATAACATGCATTTTTGTTTTCTAGAAAATGGAGGGGGCTAGTAGACAGTTGAAGAAAATGAATATTCTCCGATACCATGTAAAGAAGATAGAACGACTCTACACGTTGATGCCACCAGAGGTCTGCTCCAACTTTGAAAAATCTTATGGACGAATTCTCGACTTACTGAAGATCTGTGTCGACCCTATTTTCATCAGGATTCTGGTCCATTTTTGGAACTCTAGTCTGCACTGCTTCGAATTTCCGCAGTTTGATATGATGCTCATCTTGGAGGAGTATGAGATTATGTTAAGATGGTCCAAGTTAGCCGGGGTCCATATTCGCCATGAGGCATATACTCCTGCAGCCTAAGTTGCTGCCATCATCCGATTTTCATCTCGACAGACTGCTCTGATAGTAAAAGGGAACATCTAGTATTGGAAAGTCGCAATGTTAGAAGACCATTTGTCCTCTTTGGCTGAAAGGGCAGACTGGTTTGCTTATAACAAAACCCTGACTCTGATCGTGTTTGGGACTATGTTGTTTCCCTTTAACCTCGACATAGTGGATCAAGCCGTCATGGACGCCTTCTTCACCTGGGACGTGCACTCGAAGAGTCCCTTGCCTGCACTTCTTGCCGACACCTTGCTTTTCGGTTGAATTCTGTCACCAAAAGCAAGGGAGAACACTTAGATGCTGCTCTTCACTACTATTCGTGTGGGGTATCACACATTTCTATGCCTCTAGTCACATGGGGATGTTCCCCGACCCTTTGAAGAGCTTCTCCAACATCCCTCTTCACCGACACCTAACCATGGAGTGGAAGGTCGAGTTGGAACAATGGGATGCCAGCCGCTTATCCTGGGCATGTCCTTGGTTCCGACCTGGCCCGATCCTCATCAGATGTGGGGATTATCCGAGCGTACCGTTAATAGGCAGAGGACCCAAACCGCATTATCACAAGAAGAGCTCAAAGGACTGTGTTTCTTCGGAAACCCATGCACTATTGCTAACTCACTTGCTGTGCGGAGAGCATGGGAAATACCAGTCTTCATGGGAGATAAAGAGCTAGGCAAAGCTCGAGTAGCTGTCTCCAGTGACTATGAGGAGTGGAGGAGAAACAGAGGGATGTCACAACCATCCGCCCCACCTACTGTGCCTTCAACCAGTGAAGAGCTCCAAAGCCAAGTCGATGCCTTGACCGAGAGGATAGAAATCATGGTTGCCCAGATGAGGGCCCTTTAAGAAAAAGAACAAAAATCTATCCTCACTATAGACGGTCTACAAAGGTAGTGCAGGAGAGCACCTCAAGGACCAATGCGCTGACTCCAGTGAGCAGGTTATTCGAGCATCCAAAGTTGTCAGATTAAACTCGGATAATCAACTTCAAGAAATAACCGCCAAGTCAACACACCTTGAGGCCGAATGTGCAAAACAGACTCAGACGATCAAGGGAATGCAGCAAGATCTCGCAAGGACTCAATCTGAGATACGTCAAGGATGGGAGACTACCCAGAGACTTAATAGAAGCCTTACTGAGCTGCGCTGCAAAGAAAGAGACGGGTTAGCTCAGTATGGCCAGGTGCTACGAGAAAGAGATCGAGCCCTTGAGAGAATCGACAATTTACAAGCCTTGGTCGTCCATCAAGATACGAAGATCAAAGAGGCTCAAAAGTATAGCAAAGATATGAACCAGACGGTCCACCAGCAGACTGAAACACTCATTCATCATGTACGGGAAGTCGAAGAGGAATTACATAGAAATCAGAACCCACCTGTGGGTTTCTTTAGGCTTTTTTGTTTCTATCAAAAAGTGTTTCGTAGCATGGTGTAGGGGAATGTACACTTTCTATAAATAAATAAAATTTCCTTTTATTCAACAATTGTCTACTTGCATGCATTTCATTCATTTGCATATCTGATTACCCCTCCTTCACTCTTAATAAATAAGATAATAAAAAAGAAGGATTAACTGACACGTCTTCCATAATCAGAAGGATGGAGAGAAAATCGTTCGTAATCAAGCTCTTCCCAACGGTCGACTCATCCCAAGAGGACAATAAGCCTCAGCTGTTGGTTATCAAAGTTAATAAGGAAGAGGGGGCAAGGACGCCTTTGCGATTATTTGTGCCTCTTCCTATCCCCTATGAATCAAATAAAGTTGTACCGTGAAGATACGGATAATCTTCACCAATAAAGAAGGACATCTCCAACATAACCTGCATTGGGGACATGACTAGAAGCGGAAGAATATACTCCCCCAAAGAGTTACAAGAAGATGCCCCCAAGAATAAAGGAAAAAAATAAATAAACCGAAGAATAGAAAAATAAAGAATCTAAGGAGGAGACCGATGAATTACTCCAGTTCATAAGGCAGAGCGAGTACTTCATCATCGATCAACTCAATCACACACCGACAAAGATAACATTGTTATCTCTAATGATGAGTTCGGAACCGCACAGAAACACCCTGATGAAGGTCTTGAGCAAAACACACGTACCTCATACTATATCCCAAGAAAAATTTGAGAGGATCGTCGGCCACATCACAGCTAGCGATTACCTCATCTTCACAGATGAAGAACTCCCTCCAGAGGGGTCGAGCCATAACAAACCCTTGCATATCTCCATAAAATGCAAGGAATACCTCATCGTTAAAGTTCTTGTGGATAACGGGTCATACTTGAACATGATGCCCAAGTACACACTTGACAAGTTGACTATTTAAGGAACCCGCATGCACCCAAGTAGCACTATCGCTCGAGCCTTCGACGGATCCAAACGAGAAGTAGTGGGGGAAATCAATCTGCCAATTCAAGTTGGACCCACTATCTTCAACGTCAATTTCCACGTGATGGACATTACTCCAGCATATAGTTGTCTCCTTGGTAGACCTTGAATTCATGACGCCAAGGCAGTACCTTCAACGCTCCATCAGAAAGTCAAGTTTATAGTAGATGACAAACTGGTTCCGGTCCAAGCTAAAGATGATATCTTGATCAGTGGACTGCCTACTCAACCCTATGTGGATGCGGCTTAAGAGGCTCTTGAAACATATTTTCAAGCGCTTGAAATTGCCAATGTAGAAAGACTTCCCGGTAATACGAAGGTAGCCCGCATGATGATGAAGCATGGTTACCATCCTGGCCAAGGACTCGGGGCAGACTCCCAAGGAATGAAGGAGCCCCCGAAATTCAAAGACAATCCTTTAAAGCATGCCCTAGGATATGACCCTACAAAAGGGCGAGCAGAAAGAAGAAAAGGGAAGTGTCCCCTCCGCACACTCAAGCAGATTTTCTGAAGCAGAGGGATACAAGCGTCAAGAGCAACTCTAGTCATTAGGAGCTCTTTTTCCTTTCTTAAGGGATGTAAACCCAATGATTGTTAGAGATTATCCCCCGGGGCTAGCCCGACCCCCGGACATCTTTTGGGCACATATTCCCCTATTAATTAATAAATAATACATTTCTTATCATTTGCTTCTTTTCTTGCTATTCATGACTAGACCTCGTAATAACCATGTTTAAGGAAAAGTTTTTAAAAAAATGCGTCGAAATAATCAAAACACGCCATCGCAATAATAATCAAGCTGATTGACTAGAAACACAGAATAAAATTTTACTT